GACACTTTGGGTTGGGTGGGTGATGTGACCACGTAATATAGTGTGGGGATTTGGGGTCCCACCATCCAGAACCAATGCACTGAGACTTAAGCCATCCCAAGAGACAGAGTCCACAAACACTTGACAACGCTTCTCTCTGTGTCCCCATGGCACCTGACACCTGTTAGGACTGCCAATTAAATGCACCACCCTTGGAAAACAAGGAACTCATAATGAATAATTGTCTTTGCCCCAACCGTCTAGCTGAAAGCATTCCGACCTCTATTTGTCTTTCTGTCACACGGGGTGGTGTTCAGCTTTCTGTTACTCCAACACACACCTGGGATCATCAGCCTATGAAAAAGTGGATCTGGTTCTGCTCATGGTTTTGGATATTTCAGCCCATGCTTGGGGGTGGAACTGCTCTGGGCTGTGGTGTCCACCATGGTGGGAGCACATGGAGCAAAGCCGTTGATCTCATCACCTGGCAGCCAAAGCAAGAGACAAAGGAGAGGATGGCACTGCCCATGCCCTTGTTCTGGGACCACCTAGTCCTGGTTTATGATGACTGGCTCCAGGTGCCATGAGACCAAAGGAAGAGAGGCAGAGAGATCTCAGCTTGCACAGGGTAGGACTTACTCAGGGGCTTACTGACACAAAATGGGTCCTGGGTGGCAGCAAGACCAGTTGGATTCCTGCAATTTGGGTCAGAAAGAGGGGAGTATTAGTGGATTAGGACAAAAGTGACTTCCTCCTGGCTGGACTAGGCCTGGTTTGTTGGGATAATAATGAAGAGCCAGGCACACCCCTAGAGCCAGGGTCCAGTGGCAAAGGCCACATGTGACTAATGGTTTTGTCTCCTTAGGGCTTGCTGGGAAACCAGGCGGGAAACCCAGCTAGGGTTCCCCACGACCCAGGATGGCTGCCTTCGAGCCAGTCTGCTTCCATGCACAGCTTCATGGGCACAGCCCAGTGGTCCAGAGACCTCCCCTCAGCCCCATCTCCCAGGCTGGAGCTCTGCGCTGGGGGCCAAGCCTTCAGCGTCCAAACCTTTGGGGACATTTCAGGTCCAGTCACAGTATTCCACCACGGCCCACAAGGGCCCTCACAACGTGCCATGCATGCACTTCATCCCAGAGAACCAACATCTTAACTGCTGCATGACCCAAAGTCCACGTCCGTCTCCTCCAAGACTCAGCTACCAGCCCTGTAAAAATCAAAATGAGAGTTACTTATTTCTGAGATTCAATAGTGGGACAGCTACAGGGTAAGCATTTCCACTCCAAAAGGCAGAAAGAAGGGAACAAAAAGGAGAGCTCAGATCAAAGCAAGACCAAAACCCAGCAGGGTGAACATTAAATCCTCAGGTCCAAGCCCATCCTTCTGGACACGCTGTGCTCAGACATGAGCTCCCAAGGGCTTGATTCTCGTGATGGTGGCCCGCACGGCCCACTCTCTGGACCGCTGTGCACATTGCCTGCAGATCCCCTGGCCAGCACTTCTCCCTCCCTGGGGTCTCAGTGAAGCTTCACCTCACCTCAGAGCCCCGTGCATCATCCTGTCAGGGGCAGCTGGTGGGGAATCCAACCCCCAACACCCTGTCTGGCCCCTGGGCCTTGCTTTGAACCCTTGGTGAAGCCTCCACCATGTCCTGCACCCTGCATCCTGCAGAAGGAGTGTCACATGGAGACACCCACGTGAGCAGTGCTGGGCAGCCCGATCCACAGCTGCAGGACCTCGGAGCTGCTTGTTGGCCAAATGGGGTCGCCTTGGGCTTAGGGCTCCCTGGGCCTCTAGTCTCCACCAGTCCTGAAGCAGGCTTGCATTTTCATTTGTCTGAGCCTGTGATGGCTGCAGCCTGGTTGGTTCCTGGGATGCCCTCAAGGTGCCTTTCCTCTTGTTCTGGTGCTGAGCATGTGCAGCCTCCTGGGCCAAAATTGCACACCCTCTTCTATAAGGGAACTGTAACAGCGATGTGTTCAACAGGGTGGAATCGAGTTCTGGAGTTATGCCATGATGGGATCAGGTGCCTGTCTCTCTCTCTCTCTCTCATCTACCTCTGTATCTCTACTTATTAACTACGTTGTTTCTGTGAATAAAATGCACTTCACATGCCAATCCATCACAGTAACTGCGGAACACTAACTTTGGGGATGGCAATAAGTTGCCCCATGTCCACATTCAGTATGCAGAGCTGAGACCGACCAGCGCTCCAGCTTCACCCATCGGCACCCTCACTGCACTGAGAGGACGAGCCAACCCTGACTGCAGCTGCAAGGTTCGTCATCACCCTTTACAACCCTTTGGGGACAGAGCACACTCCAATGACCCAGCCAGAAGGAAGTCTGACTGTGAAGCGGTTTGAACTTGTTGGAGTTCCCACTCCGTCAGGAATTGTATCATATAACATTTCCTTAGCTTCGTTATTTTGTGTCCCGCCAACTCTTGACCCACGGGATGAGTGGCTTTGAAACAACCCTGTTTGAGTTCGTGTCTTGCACGAGCATTTCCCCCTACCCCAGGGAGCTACTGAGTGGTCATGAGGATGTAGAGAGAAGGAGGAACTCCAGTGTCACCCGGCAACCTTAAACAAGTGTCGTTCACCTAGCCGTTGGTCTGGGGGTGCCAGTGTCCCGGTTGGCAATGAGCTGAGGAACTGCTGACCTCTGGGGGTCACCCAGGAACAACGAGTCACACTCTCTCCCAGTGCGGAGGGCTCTCTTCTTCCTTTGACACCTCTGGGGCTCGTTACTTTATAGAGGAAATACATCATTTAACATAGTTTCTGAGCTAATAAAAATAGCATTGTATTTTTCTAATATTTTCTTTTTATTTTTAAACTAATTTTCTTTTCTGAACTGACACACACACAAAAAAAAAACAATACAAAAATGGTACATGGCAATGGGTACTGTGATCCACCAGTAACACAAACCGGGAAAGCAGAGTGAGCCTCCTGCTCCCGGGCCTCTGTGGCTTCTCTCTGGCTAAGACACGGACAACCCTTCTTCCTTCTTGTTTTGTTATTTTTTCTTTTATTTATGATTATGTTAATTTAGCATCATTTCAAAATAATTTGTAATAATCAACAGATGTTTTCTAAGCCTCGTAGTAACCACAAAGCAAGAATCTATAATACACAAAAAAAGTAAAAATCAAGGAATCAAAACACACTTAAGTAAGAAAACCAAGTTCCAGAAATGGATCCTAAGTCCATGGAGCTTGTGACTCGACTCTGAAAGGATTCAGAGGAACCCTCTAAGGACATTCAGGGAGTTGTACAAATGGGGATGTAAAACTACAAGAGCCTTTAGACCCGAGGCACCCTCCTGCGTGTTCTAGTTGAATGGGAGGCAGCCGTCCGTCCGTGTACCTGTGTGATTGCTGTCTGGGGAAAAAGCCTCATTCACATCTTTTCTTTTCAGTTTCCTTGGCTGAACTCAGCATGTGGAAAGTTGACCAAATCCTGTGAGATGAGTCAGTGGCTTGTGCTCAGACTCCACTCTCCTTTATCATGGAGATGATGGGAGGAAAGGTCACCAGCACCTGCCACTTGCAACTCCTCAGGCTCAACCCCAAAACGCACTCCCCTAGTGTGAAGAGTGGGGGAGCCCAGTGCCACATTTCTTCAGGGACCAGAGGGCAGGTCTGGGGAAGGACCTACAGCACAGACATAACCTCCTGGGGCTCCCCGCTCCCGTTTCGAGCTCACACTGGCCTTCATGGCCAGCGCCTCCCGCCCAGGTTTCTCCTGCTCCTCTCACTTCTGAACCTTTATTCCAGCTGAGCCACATCTTGTTTAGTTCCAGAAGATGCTCACAGGTTTCTGCACATCACTGTGGCTAAGCCAACTGTCGAGGGACAAGAACTCCCACACGCAGGGCCAGTGTGGTCTTCCTCATTTCACCTCTGAGACTATAAATGGCCCTCCTCCTTGACCTCGGTCCTGTCCTGCAGTGGTCAGCACAATGCAGGACGCTCCCCGCACATTCTTGCTTGTCTCGCTGAACCGTTGGTTTACTTTGAGGGAGGTTTAAACGTGAGCATTCTTTCCTGCCGTGGACGGCCTAATGCCTGCTTCAGTAAAATGAAATGAAAAGGCAACATTGAGCTCACAAATTTTCCAAGGGTCAAGATCCAAGATTCTTCGTTTCTAGAACAAGAATGGTCCAGGCCACGGGCATTCAGAGTGAACCCATGTGAAACGAAAGTCAGTGGTTAGTGGAGATGTTTGGATCACTTTGATGATGCTTTTCCCTGAAAGATAAACCTTGAAATTATGTAAGCTGTGTTTTGTGATGGAAATGTAGCCATCCAGCAGCAATGGGTGCCCTCTTCATACCTCTGTGGACGCCAGAGAAGAGCACACAACTGCGTATTTCTTAGGAGGCAGACGCCAGTCTCACTTGACAGCTAGAAACTTGACGCTCATCAGATCTGAGCACAGCCAGAGCCGGCCCTGCTGCCCGCTGTCTGTCACCTGGAAGGAGGTCCTGGTCCCTGTGCAGTGTCACCCCTCTCCCATCTCTTCCCTGCCTTCAGCAGGTGAGCTGCTAGGGCAGTGAAGGACTGGCCGCAGGACAGCTCACCAACACCTCCACACACCCATACACACCACTTTTACCCTGCAGCCATCTCAGCGGCATCCTGGTAAGCACATGGGCCCCACATCCCTCTGCAACTGTGGGAAGGCACATACAGAAGCTATGTCTTCACCAAGGGGCTGGCTGCTCTAGACATCCCCAACATGCCCCTGCTCACCTCAGTCTGGAAAAGCACAGATTTACAGTGAGCCTCATAAGTGCTTCACAAATAATGCACTTCACAGAAAGTCCCCGGAGCCTAGGGCACTGAGGGTCCACGCAGCACTACTACTGAGTGGCGGCCAAGTTGGGAATATGCATGAATTCCAGGGAATTTAGAGAGAAAATGACACAAAAGTGTTCTGTTTTCAGATGATAAATGTGTTTTATATCACAAAAGATGCTCTTCACAGTGTTGCATGTACACCTTTTTGACAATCATGTACAACTTACTCCCAGGACCTTCTCTAGGACCCTCTTCAGTGCCCCTTTAACCTCCTCATTCCTCAGAGTGTAAATCAGAGGGTTGAGCACGGGCGTCACCACCGTGTAGAACAGGGAGACAAACTTGCCCTGGTCCTTGGATCGGCTCCGGGCCGGCTGCAGGTACATGAAGATGATGGTCCCGTAGAAGATGGTGACCACCAGCAGGTGGGAGGAGCAGGTCCCGAAGGCCTTCCTCCTGCCAGCAGCCGACCTGATCCTCACCACGGCCTGGGCAATGTGGCCGTAGGACACCAGGATGAGCGACAGGGGCAGCACCAGGAACAGGACGCTGGCCACAAAGAGCTCAGCCTCATTGAAGGTGGTGTCCACACAGGCCAGCTTGATGAGCACGGGGACCTCACAGATGAAGTGGTCCACGTGGCGATGCCCACAGAAGGGCAGCCGCAGGGTGAGGGTGGACTGTACCAGGGTGGTGGCCACTCCGCTGAGCCACGCGGCAGCCGCCAGGGAGTGACAGAGGCGGGGGTGCATCAAGACAGTGTAATGGAGGGGACGGCAGACGGCAACATAGCGATCGTAGGACATGACAGCCAGGAGGACACACTCGGTGGACCCCAGCGCGAGGGAGACGCAGAGCTGAGCCACGCAGCCGCCGTAGGAGATGGTTTTGAAGGGATCCCACAAGTTGACCAGGAGCTGGGGCACGACACTGCTGCTGAAGCTGAGGTCCAGGAGGGACAGGTGGGAGAGGAAGAAGTACATGGGCGTGTGCAGCCGGGGCTCCAGGCGGGACACCAGGATGATGGCAGAGTTCCCCAAGGCGGTGAGCAGGTACAAGGCCAAGATGGTCACAAACAGAACCCTCTGCAGCCGAGGGTGGTCCGAGAACCCCACCAGGATGAAGCCTGCCGGGCCGCTCTCGTTGACACCCCTCTGCATCCACATCCCCACGGGTGCTCCCAAGGCCGAGGCGCACCTGGGAAAGACGGCAGGCCCCACCAGGTCCCCGTGGCCTGCCACCTCCCAGGAGGGCACTCATGGGCGGCTCCCTCGCAGCGGGCAGCAGGCGGCCGGGCTCTGTGCCCTGGTGTCTGCCTCTGATGGTGTGGGGTCAACCTCTCCAGGTCTTGCCATCCAAAGCAGAGCAGAGGGCAACTCGAAGGTTTTACAAGTCTGGAATAAACTAGATCACCTTTCCAATTTATCTAAGCCTACTCCTGTCCGTCACTGTCTTCCTGGTTACAGAAAGGTAGAGACTGAGATATTCCAATTAAAGAGAGAACCTCAGGTCTTACTTTAGCACTTTTCAACTAAGGGGAATAAAGTCTGTTTTTCGTCATGCTTAAGTCTGGACACTAGTCATACAGGTTTACATGGGTGAGAAATGCTGGGTTTGATTTCACTAAGTAAAAGCCAGCTCCTGAGACTTGGGTGACCTGGCAAAGACACCGTCTGGGGTGGTGGAGGCCATCAGGAAGCTCTCTCCTGGCCTCACACCACTCCTGCCTCCTGCTTCCCTCAGTCCTTGCTTCTTGGTGGTGTGTTCTCACATTTTGTGGCCTCCCTTTAGAGACCAAGGGAGGGACCAGGTGCCTCTGGCCCCCCACACTAGTTTTCCTGAGGACATGTCATCTCTGTGATCTTGACTCCCTTCTTTGGGGACCTTCGTACTGTAGGCGCTATCTCAGGGCACAGGAGCAGAACGATATTCCTATCACCAGAAGCAGCTGGGATGAGGACGCTACTGACCACAGCCAGTCCTTCCTGCAGGCCACAGCTACCAGAAGGACTCCTCTTAGCAGAGAAGTTGGAGTTCAGTGGTGGAGCACTGCCCAGCATGCACCAGGCTTCTGTCCCCAGTGCGGCAAAATCAGAAACAGAGAAAAGAATTCTTTACTGGTATATACACCTGAACCTTTGTTCTTATGAAATCTTTGGCAAAGGAGAGTTTTGGTTTTTAATGCTTTTTTTAAATTTTATCTTGTTGCCTTCAACAAGGGGCATGTGGCTCTTCAGAATTGTTTGTGAGATTCACAGAGCCAGGCGGGCCACACACAACAAAAGTGCCCAGCAGAGGGATGACTGAAAAGTCACCCCCACCCTGCGGTGTGTGTCTCTGGGCTTCCCAAGCAAGGACACTGAGGTGTGGTCAACTGGTGTGCGGGTCACGTGACTCTCAAGGGAAGAGGGCACAAAGGCCCCGCCCCTGGTAGAAGAGGCCCTGCTGCTCCAGTCACACCTCAGAGACACTGTGACTGTGCCACCCGACTGAGCTGCGCTAACCCTGTGCACATCAGCAGGGCTCCCCAGCATGATAGCTGGGCAACGTGGCAACCCCGGGCATCAGGCCACACGACCCCCTTCTAGCTGCTACACCACAATCTCACCATCACAACATAGAAATGCCCGTGGCCTCCTTATTGTCTGATCCTGCTCCCACACCTCCCCACCCGAGGAAGTGCACGCACTGCATCGGCTGTAGTGAGAGGGGTGTTGGGCCCTAATAAAAGTCCACTCATGGGCAGCACCGGAGTGCGGACCGTGTTTTCTCTAGCTTGTGTTCATAAAACCAGATCACTAAAAACAAAGTTCCATACCCAAATTTGAAGAGAGTATTAAAATATATAATTCAAAAGAAACCTATCCAACAGCCAGAGTATTCACAGTTTGGGACTCCTGCTAAACAAAGTAAGATAATTAAGAAAAATTAATTGGAAAACTATCAGAAAAGAATACTTGGATAAAAACATCTAAAATTAAAAATTTACAAGAGCCCACATAAATTATGGTTTGTGAAATCCCTAATTAAATATGGGGAGGGTATCTAATAGCACATTAGAAATGATAACACAGAATTAGCAATTGCAGTAGTAATTTTGAGGATGTTTCAGGAACATTTTTAGGCTCCTGCCTCAGACCGAGGCTGGCATACAAGACCAACAGCGTACTGATAACACTCTGTGCTTTGGTTGCAAAGCTAAGAAACCTGGGCTGCAACACGTCATCATTACATTCCTTATAGTAAACTTCATGGCCCGGGTATAAACCAGACCCGTAGGCCAGAAGACCCAGAGACCAGCCACTTAGACCCCATGAGATGTGGAAAGTGACAACCCCAACATAGTAAGGCCTGGGGAAAGGCAGGGAAAGGAAGCCACTCGCTGGGGGCATCGATCCTCTCCAGTACATCTCCCAGGGACAAGATGAGCCCTGGGGAGGACAGAGCCTTCCAGGCCTAGACCACAGTCTCTAGGAAGAAGCCCAAGTATCGACCCTTCCGCACGTAAGTCCTTCTCAGTGACAGTACAGTGAGTCCCCAGGGGAAAGAGATAATACTGGCTTTTGATGCCAGACCCTCCATCTGGGCCACTGACCACTGACTCCAGACCCTCCATGAGACACGCTCTGGCATTAATTAAGTCACCTATATAAGCCCAGTCCCCTTTCTCTAATCAGTGGCTCATTTTCCACCAGGAGAGTGGGTCCATCAGGACCATGAATAAAGAACCATAAATAAAGTGGGTCCATTAGAACCGTTTCTGAATAAAGGCTTTTGGCTGATGTGTGAAGTTTTTGTTCATCCAGGTCTTTTTTTGCGCTAACAGATACCGTCAACCTATCCTTGACAAAGTGCCCAAACATGCCCTGGAGAAAAGACAGCCCCTGTCCCCACTGGTGCTGGGGATCTGGTTACCCACGTGTAGAAGGATGGGACTCGACCTCACCTCCCATCCTGCACTTTGATCCTGAAAATGGATCGAAGACCTGGGAATCAGACCAGAAGCTAGAAACTCCTAGGAGAAAATGTAGGGTCAGCACTCAGCTTTGAGGCAACGGCTTTGTCAGTAGGACCCCCAAGCTCGGGAACTTGGGATGGCCTTGGGTTACAAAGCCTCTTCCCAGCAGACCATTATGAGTGAAGAGAGAGCACACAGGGGAAAGTCTTGGCTAGCTGTTCTCCTGACAAAGGATGGATCTCTAGGATATACAAAGAGCTTAAAGTAGAAAGTTTTAATAAAATTAAATTTTAAAATTCAAAAGAAACACTTTGGGAGTCAAAGTTCTGTGTCCCTAACATACAGAGAGGTCTTGGAAAGGACTGCCTCACCTGGCTGAGCCCGGTGAATCCTGCAGTCAACTGCCCCTCCTCCAGTGCAGGCAGTCTCGGCCAAGGTCCAACAGGTTCCCCACCAGCCTCCACGGAGGCCACCTCCCTGAACTTCTGCCTCTCCTTCTGCTCAACCTGCTCTCCTTGGACCTCACACATGCAGCCTGGGCCAGACACCACTGGGCATAGACCTTCTAAACTGGCAGCTGGAGGGAACTTTTGCCCTGGAGGAGTTCACAGAGTCTGGGCAGCCCACAGAGGGGATCTTCCAGAACTCTTCTAGAAGATGCAGTTCTCTGAATCCCATGGCTGATTATTTCCCACCCTCAGAAATGAGATGGTGATGACAAGGTGGGGGTGGGGTCTGTCCTGAAACCCTGCCAGCATCACTGTCCTGCCTGACTGGAGCACACCACGGACAGCCCTCACTTGAAGGGCTGGATGAACCAGCTCCTCACACCACCCCTGCTCCTGGCCCCTCCAGCTGCTCAGACGGGCCCTTCCTGACACTCAGGCTGCAATGACATGCCCATCGTCCCTCTCAGCTGTCACCACCAGAGAGGCCATGTGAGTCAACACCAGACACGAGCTCCCATACCCTACCTGGTTCACGAGGCTGGTCTTGTTCCTGCCGAGCACCCTGCACATCACTGCGGCTGCAGGGTGGGTGCTGGGTGCAGCCCACATGGAGCTCGCAGATTCTCTTGAGATGCCAACCCTGCCCTGAGCCATTCACCCATCACTCTTCTCTGCTTGACTCTTTTCACTTCCAGAATCCAACAACAGAACCCAAATATGAAGGCTTCTTCAAAGAAAAGAAATCCTGAACACAACTGTCTCTTCCAAGCCAAAGAGAGAGAACTCTAGGCCAAAGGCTAACTAACTAGTTTTGCCTTTAACCAGAAAGCTCTTCAACTGAACTCAATGCCTTTTCCCTCAGAGGGCAACTCTGGGCTGCAGCATGAGGGGGCATGGGATGGGGAAATGACAGGAGGGGGCAAAGCAAGCCTTTTAATTGCCTTGAAGGTGATCAGCACGGGGAGGGGGGGCGGGGGGTGACACCGTCATTCCTGAGGAAGAGCATTGGGAAACAGTTCGCTGCTTGCATCTGCTAAATCACACCTGGCCGCTGTGGCTGGCCCTGGCTGCCAACCTCTGGCTCAGGAGCTACCACTCTGGCAGTGTCTCCAGCCACCTGCAAGGAGTGGGTATAAACAGACCTTCCCAGGTGGTGCCCGGGTCATGGGAACTGCTGGAGAGGACAGAGGGGGAAGCAGACCAGGTGTTCCCAGAAGGCAGCAGCGAGCGTGCTCTCCAAGGAGCCAGGCTCCAGTGCTGGCCCCTGGAGACCATGTGGGGACTGAGGCCTTCTCCCAAGAGTCCGGGAGTCGGACCCCCAGGTGGAGCATGGCCCCTAGTTAGGAGTAAGAGGTGTTGCTCTGGCTAGAAGCTGCTTCTCAGGCTGACTCTCTGCAGTAGCTCAGAGAGGGGACCCTGCTGAGCTGCAGGAAGAGGCTTGTTCCAAGAAAGAGGAAGAGTGGTGGGGGGGGACATCAGGAGAAATTGAGCAGCAGAGTGGCTGCGTCAGGGAGGCACAGCTCACCTGGGATGGAGAAGGAGCGCCTGTTAACACAGCATGGGTCCCTGGAAGGCTTAGACAATCACTGTCTTTCTTCTACAGAAACTCAAACAAAGCTGGGCATGGCAGTGCCCAAGAGAAGAGAGGGCTGGGGACGAAGTCCGTGGTACGGCAGTGCCAAGTGTGCGCAAGGCACACCAACACAGTCCAAACCAGAGACTCCAGGTCACCGTTCTGGAAAAATACCCTCAGTCACTGTCTCTGCCATCACTTAGGGGTCTGTGTGAGACATCAGCAAACTGGGCGTGTTCCAAGGATCGCACACAGCCGTGGAACACCACGACGGGGTCCTCGGGGAGATGGCCACTCGGGCAAAGCCCCCAGAAAGCGGCCCATGGCTGCAGTCGGCTATGACTGAGGTCGGTCGGGCACAGCAACGTGGGGGGCTGTGGCACTGCGCACCCTCCAGGGCCAACTGCCCCTGCACAGGGCTGGGCTGAGAATCCACACCCCTGCCCCTAGTCCTCCATCCACTCTGATGACACTTCAGCTGGCTCAGAGCTAATGTTTCCTGGAACACCACGTGCTGCCCATTAGCACCTAGGATTATTGTAGTGTCAGGGAAAATGTGAATTTAACTTAAAGCTTTTAAATAGCTATGGATTTTTGCTTTATGATATTCAGAACAGGGGCACCTACTTTCCCTTGAATAACCACTGACCTGACCCCCTCATCAGAGAGGTCCAAGATCTCCGTCCTGCCTAGTTAGCCCACGGTCCTCACTGTCTCACTGTGGCCACCAGTCCAGAGCACGGATCCCACTTTGCTTGAAGGGGGGAGGTTCAGGTGCCCTCGTCAGCACAGCAGAAGGTGCCCCACCTGTCCTGCTACCCAGGTGGACCCCTCCTGTCCCTTGCACTAGCTGGACAGGAAGTGTGCCTCTGCTTCGAAGGTGCATGGGGACTATTTCAAGGCCATCACAGATGTCAGGCCCTTGAAAACTCAGCCACAGATTCCTTCATTTTTATACACTTGTTAATGTATAATTGTTTAATGTGTAAATTAGAAAATAATGAACACTCTTTCCTTCTCCTTCAGGGTGAAGAGTTACTGCTCAGATAACGTTCCTTTGTCGACACGTCAATTTAATAACAAAAATCCAAGTGAAAGAAAAATGTAGCTATTTATCTTGTAGTCTGGTTGACATGGATTTAATTTTACAAATAACTTGCTAATGATGAGAATTTTCTCTAATATTTTTTTCTATTGTTTTGATACTGTCACATAGTGAAAAATATACCACAAATTGAGTTGGACCATTAGCGTAAAAACTCTGTGAAGCCATAGGTTGTTTTCTTTTTAAATTTATGCCCTCAGAGCCTCAATAACTGTTGAATAAATGAATCAAATTCTTAAAAGAAATGGCAGTTCCAAGATGTATGAAGACATGCACACACAATGTAATGTGGAACAGAGAGTGTAAGAGGTGACCATGTCACTAACTCATGGCATCCTGAGGGCAGAGGCCCCTTCCTGTGAGAGGAAGGAAGGACCGAGGCTTGGGGACAGCTCTTCACTCTCTAATACTGAGAAAAGAGGGCAAAGCACCCCCACGGGGCTTGAAGTTAGTCAACAGGTGCTGAATGCCAGATCACCTTTGATGCCCGGGGCCAAGCAGTCGAATGCAGTGTGGTTGAGCAGGAGGACACAGGTGGAAAGGTCTGCACTGAAATGGACATCCAGGAGGCACCTGTACCGAGATTACATGGGAAACAGGGACTAAGTCACAGCACAGTGGGTGTCTCAAAACAGGGACGAGAGGAATTAAAAAGTTTGATGTCCAGTAGAGGAAAGGACAGTAGTGGAGAGGGGCTCGGAGCTCCCAGCACTCGTGCGAGGACCCACACAAGCAGGCTCGGAGCTCAATGGGACTCACTCAGGGACCCGCTAGGGGGCCTCAGAGCTCATAGGACTCATGGGGTGGGGGATGCACCTAAGAGAACTCAGGGACCCTTGGCCACCTGAGGGTCCAGCAATCCATGGTCAGTCAGATATAGTCACTGAGCTTTAGAGTTTGTACTTTCTGTTCTGAGCAACTGACCCAAATTCTTCAGTATCTGAGAGAGACCCATCACAGGTCTCTCTCTCTCTAGCACGTGGCTAAGACAGTTACACAGAAGAAGCTCTCACGCAGCACAGTGCTTGGAGCACAGTCGCGTTCTCATCTGGTTGCCTAACATCGGCAACGCCGTGATGAGGACACAGATCTGCAATGTGGGCCTCTGTCAGTCTGTCCTGCTCTGAAATTCAAAGTAGCCTCGCTTTCTACCAAAGCCCAGGGTTGGGTCATCGCCATTTCCAAGTCATCCTCTAGGGGAGCAACCGCGTCAACTAAGTGTCACCTGGCAGTCACCAGGTCCCCTCAATCATAAGGTCTTCCCCAGAGTTTCCTCAGTGCCATCTTCACCTCCTGGTTCCTCAGAGTGTAAATCAGAGGGTTGAGCACGGGCGTCACCACCGTGTAGAACAGGGAGACAAACTTGCCCTGGTCCTTGGATCGGCTCCGGGCCGGCTGCAGGTACATGAAGATGATGGTCCCGTAGAAGATGGTGACCACCAGCAGGTGGGAGGAACAGGTCCCGAAGGCCTTCCTCCTGCCAGCAGCCGACCTGATCCTCAGCACGGCCTGGGCAATGTGGCCGTAGGACACCAGGATGAGCGACAGGGGCAGCACCAGGAACAGGACGCTGGCCACAAAGAGCTCAGCCTCGTTGAAGGAGGTGTCCACACAGGCCAGCTTGATGAGCACGGGGACCTCACAGAAGAAGTGGTCCACGTGGCGATGCCCACAGAAGGGCAGCCGCAGGGTGAGGGTGGACTGTACCAGGGTGGTGGCCACTCCGCTGAGCCACGCTGTGGCCACCAGGGAGTGACAGAGGCGGGGGTGCATGAGAAGAGTGTAGTGTAGCGGGCGGCAGACGGCAACATAGCGATCGTAGGACATGACGGCCAGGAGGACACATTCAGTGGACCCCAGTGCAAGGGAGACGCAGAGCTGAGCCACGCAGCCGCCATAGGAGATGGACTTGTCTGAGCCCCCCAGGTGGACTAGGAGCTGAGGAAGGATACCAGTGGTGAAGCAGAGGTCCAGGAAGGACAGGTGGGAGAGGAAGAAGTACATGGACGTGTGGAGCTTGGGGTCCAGGAAGGACACCAGGATGATGGCGGAGTTGCCAAGAAGAGTCATGAGGTAAAGGAGCAGGACGACCCCAAAGAGGGCCCGCTCCAACTGAGGCTGGTCTGAGAACCCCAGCAGAAGGAACCCAGAGAGGAGGCTGTCGTTGGCACCCCCCATTATCTCGCTCCACCCACTCACGTCAGGCAGAGCCTCGGATCCTGTGCCAAGTCCTTGAAAATTAAAAGTTACGTTCTGGGAACTAAGACTTTGGACACATATAGCCGGCAGAGAACACCAGAGTGGGAGACTCTTATTAGGCCCCGAAGGTGGAACCTGGTCTGAGACCCACAGGTGTCCCACGTAGCTCGAGGATCACATGAAAGTCAGCATCACTTGAGATCGAGTTTGCCCCAGTTTTTTAACAACATGGATTTTTTAGTGTAAACATATTAGAATTTTATAGGAACTGTGGGAACTGCAAGCACTCTAGAAATATGGTTATTCCCAAGGTACCAAAGGCACAGAAGAGCCGGCAGGTGCCCAGGAGATCCCCAAGCACGGTGGGAATGCAGCGGAGACGCTCAGGATGAATCCAGGTGTGGTCACATGCTGCTCCCGAGGAGTCCGGAAGGAGGGCAGCCCAGCCTGAGAATGGAAATGGAGAGGGCACATGGTCAGAGCCAGAGGGGGAAGGAGCCAAATGTGGGGAGAAGCTACTGCACATGCCGCCTATGCTACAGAACACAGCACGTCCAGGGTGAACTAAATCAGTTCTTCCAGGACCACAGACATCAGTACACATTATCTGGATAGCATAGCCCTTGTTGAGGGGTTTTAGCTCAGTTCAAATTTCCCTTCTTAAGATAAATGTTTGCACAATGTAAGAGAATTTAAAACTTCAAGTACCCTGACCCAGAATCGATGTGTGGGGCTCATGGGACAGTGGACAATGTCGATGTCACACACTTGGAAGGGAGTGAGTGCAGTATGACCAGAAGGGAGGGAACTCGGCAGAGGCTGACTCATGAAGGCTCGCCTGCCGGCAGTGCACTTGACCAACTAACAGAAGAAACCAAGAGATTGAACAGTTAAAAACAGCCTCTGTCTTTTTAATCTCAACCAGGGATGCTGAGGACCGCGCTGACCATGTCTGAAAACTCCAAGAAGAGAGTCCACATGGTTGACGCTCTTCTTGTAATAGGGACCTGGCTCCTGTCTCCTGGCACCCACCTTAACTCCAGCCACTGGCTGCGCATGCCTGGCTGAGCGCCCTGTGAACACGTGAAGCACAGGGAACCTGGATGACGGGCAGTTCCACAGCACCCCGGGCGGGGGGTGGGGGGGGGGAGCCTACTGACTGTGGCCACTGCCCTTCGCAGGCGCCGAGGCCTGGACATCTGCAGACTCCTGGACAACCTGATCTTGCTCTTCTCCAGATGCAGCTGAGGGGTGACTCCCCGAGACCTGTGTCCTCCCTGAAGTTGCTCACTCACACCATCCTGCTCAGGATGAAAGACTGGCTGACTGTGTCTTTCCCTGAATGAGCAGGTTTGCTATCTCAGCTCAGGTTTTCAAAGTTTCTCTTTCATGCTATTTATTAGAATGGGCCTGCACCTGGTGTCCTCCCACCAGGATGCCACTGAAGTCACCTCCTCATCCCTTACTGCCTACAAGGACGTCTCGAGAGCATGGTGGACAATCTGGTAAGAGAACAGGCTCCAGGTACAGGCTCCAGGCATTTTAGTTGTGTTCCTGAACATGTCACTGCATGAGGTGCCCTGGCTGGCTCAGCTGGGACCTGGAGAGGAGCAGAGCTGTCGCATGGGGACGAAGTGCATGATACCAGCCCTGTGGAGGGACAAATGTGTGCCAGTGAACAGTGATCGCTGTGCCTGTGGGCACTACTGCCAGCTCACACGGCCTTCGCAGGCTCACAGGCACCTTACTGTCCCCCGGAGCCTCACCTGCTCCCCAAACCTTCAGTGTGGCTCCATTGCCCCTCCCACCACGGCTGCATGGTGTCCCCTCACTGAACCCACCTAGGCATCTCCATAAGTCCTCTAAGACTTGACCCAAAACACAGGAAATCTTTAGAGAGATGTCACATTTCCAACCAGTTCTACGATATTTTATATTCATGCATTGCTAGTATCAGAGTGCCACGAATCTAATGACTTATTTATCTTTATGCTATTAACGTCTACCACATTCTCCAAAAGCATTTGCTAAGTCAAAGTGCTTGTGGAGCACCGCGCTGTTTCACTGGGCAGATGTGGTGACCACTCTGTAACACATGCAGCGAGCAGCTGGACAGATGTGCAAAACGTGCACCCCGAGAGCTCCCTGAGCACCACGTGGAAGCCCTGCTGTTTCACAGAAGGAATGCGTGCCCCTCCTAAAATAGGCAAGGCAGGCTTAAAGGCTTATGCACAAAGGCACTTCTTGGACTGCTAGCCAACCACGTTGAACACAGTGCTACTGCAGAGGACAGACATGACAGTGACCTCTGTCTTAAGCATAAAGACAACTAAGTGTGTGTCTGCACACACTCCAACGAAAACAGAAAGGACATCTCAGCACTCACCTCATGGTTCCCATCCCATAGACGTGAATAGAGAGCTCTTTAGTCCCATGTGCTGCTCCAACCACAAACGCCTGGAAGACAGGTTTCCCTATGTTCAACAGCACACTCTGAAGTCGGATGAAGACAGACAGATTGGATGAAACACTGGCATTTGTCTCTCACTAGACATTATTTCAGCTAATTCATCCATCAACCTCTGCTGGAGGCACGCCGTGGTCATCCCTCAAGCTGGACATAATGGGTGTCTTAATGAGTTGGCCACTGACTCTCTGTTCATCACGAGTGGTGTCGGGTACTGAGCCAGAGCTCCATACGTGCCAGGGAAACACTCTACCAGCAGAGCCCAGCCCAGCCAGGAATAGGAAATAGAAAGCTGTGTGTGTTGCTGTCAAGATTCTTGTCAGAGTAAAGTAAAATTTTTAAAAACCCTTGTCAGTTGCCTGCTCATGTTGCATGGATGGGGAGAGAGCAGCAGCACTAACCCTAGCCCAGGGACCCACAAGGTGAATAGTGAGGTATAAAGAACCTGCCCTCAGGGTGTCACAGGCCCACTCATCTAGCTTGTGAAAAGACATCAGGTCCTTGGAAGTCAGTATCTATAGATAAGCCCTGCACGGTGGCACACGCCTATTATCCCAGCCACTGGGGAGGTGAGGAAGGAGGATCACAAGTTTGAACCAGCCTTAGCAACTTAACAAGGCCCTGGGCAAGTTAATGAGAGTCTGTCTCACAGTAAAAAATAAAAAAGGGCTGGGAATGCGACATACTGGCAAAGCATCCCTGGGTGAAATCCCCAGGACCAAAAACAAACAAAAACATAAAAGCAGGTAAATGAAGACAGCATTCTCTGTTTTCTGTGCATCCAAGGTTTGCTGGCAAGAGGAGTAAAAGGTTTGCTATCGATGTCAGAGCATCTGAACACCAAGCCAGCAGAGCCAGGAGCTGCCAGGGACCTGAGGGGACACTCACGGAGGACTCCCTGGGCGCCAAGCTGCCCTGGAGGACACGACTTACACACCTGTCTGTCTCCACAGGGAGATCCTGCGGTCACAGAGGAGGAGGCCTCAGGGTGGAGGCTGCCCGCCCAGGGAGGCTCTGAGGCAGAGTGGAGTTGGGGCCCAGGGCTGGCATTCCAAAGTGCTCCTCGCCACACAGGCCTCCTGGCTCCTGGTGAAGGGAAGAAGTGGGCGCTCGGTAGCCGGGGGACGCACTTCTCATCCTCTCATGTCACCCTTGTGCTCTCATGTCACATGCTGCTCTGCTTCCCCTAAGCCATCTGTCCCACTTTGAGCTGTAGCTCTGCGCTCCCAAGGCTGCATTGTTCCCAGGGTGCCCCGATATCTAACATCTGAACAGGGGCTTTGCTCATGGTGCAGGGGGTACTCAGCGTCGCCGGGCACCGCAGCAAGTCCTGCTTCAGGGGGGAGCTTCTGGACCCTCTGCCTTGGAGGAAGAAGGGGAGGGAGGCTGAGTGAGAAGGCACAGACAGGCCAGCCACAGGCTCCAATAAGGAGGACTGCAGTGGCACTGAGAAAGGGCATGAGGGATAAAATGCCACCATGGGAAGAGCAGCAGACCCTCCCTGCCCCTCTGGGGTCCGGGGATGTGGCCTCCTGCGGGGTTGAGAAAGCCTGCTCCAGGCTGTTTCCCAGGAGTGCAGCGCGGAGGGCAGGGTGGGCGCAGGACCCAGGTAGGAAGCACTCCTCTCCCTCGCGAGACAGACCCTGGGTGTGGAGCTGAGCAGGTGCAATCCTTGAGCTCTCTGGCTATACATCTACGTGTTGCCATGGAAACACCTCCTAACTCACCCTGAAACTGCTGACACGTACATGAATTGTACCCAATACGCAAAAACATGAAAGTCGTACGTGCTGTTTTGATGCATGGACACTCTGTGTGTTTAAGTCTGATTAAACGTAACTACCTCCTCAAACATCCATCACTTATTTGTGGCGAGCATTCTAAACCCTTCCTCCTGGGTTTTTAAGTGTCCGCTGCATGTTTGCTCTCTGGGCACCTGTGGCAGTAGCTCACCAGAACTCACCCCCATCTCCCTGCAACCTGGTGGGTGTTGACCAGCCTGCCCCACCCTCCCTGCCCCTACTGCCCCCAGTAGCCACCACCCTGACCTCACAACTTACCTATTATCATTGAATGTACGGCTCACGTGGGAAGCTGCTCCTTACCATAAAGGAGTCCTGTGGTCAGAAAGCCGGGGACATAATGAGGCAGGTTCCAGCCGGCTCCCTCACCTCCACCAGCCCTGAGCAGGAAGGCACCCGGGAAACACAGCCCAGATGTCTCCTTCCAGACCTGCAGTGGCTTCTCAATCTTGAAGTCATTCTGTCCATGAAAAATGCAGCCCTGATAGGCCCTGCGCCTGAGGCTCATCTGTGGCAAGTAGGGGGTTGTTCCTCTCCTGGTCCCGGAGCAGCCCTGCCTCACTAGGGAGCTGGCACCCTAACTAAGGCATGGAGGCTCCACTCCAGAGAGCTCGGTGGCCCCTGAGTGCCCTGCCCCACCAGGAAACACTCCCTAAGCATAGGACAGCCAGAGAGCCGTGGCAGTGGTCCCTGAGCTCCTGGTGTCCTCC